AATTATGTAACAATAGATTCCTCAAAACCCAACTTTTCTTCACATAAAGAAATTAAAACAACAACCAACCTCATTATTAGAGGAATGAGTGTAGATAGCTGAATAGGAACTATTTGTGGCTGCTGGAATGGCTTAAGGAAAGGGAGAGAGAGAGAGGGCCAGTTGCAGCCGACCACCTTTTCCTATGTTTAGTATATTTTTGCTTCATTTTGCAACGTATGGATTCTTGCTCTGATGCTGTTTGGCATAGTACAGACAAAAGCTTGCATAGGTTCATTGGGGTCACCGATGACTTCTTCGCACATTACACTAGTCTTCCTGCTGTTTCCTGTAAGACCATATCACGAATTCCTTCCAACCAACTTCTCCTTCAAATGGAAGTCATGCTGCAATTGCTTGTTTTCCATATAAGTAGGTTTACCTACTCTCAATTATTATTGAACAGGAATAATGACCCTAGTATCACTACGTAAATAGCCTTAAGCGATCTCGACTTACTACTTGCTAATTAAGGATATAGTGATGGTCTCGATAACTACTTATATCGTAAATAAGTAATGTCTTCTATTACATTGGTAAACGCATGCTGGCTTACCCGACAATCCCACCTTACAAATGTGAATCGCTATACGCCTTGCTTTACTTGAATGCCCCATCTGCTCTGTGTCCGTCTAGTTGAGTGGATGAGTAACATCGCAACGATACTCACGAACCAGGTGCTGATGAGACGATGGGATGAGTTCGGAGTGAGACAAGCTTTTGGGAGGCAGGGCTAAATTAATGTGGTAATATTCGACTATCACTACTTAAATCATCTTCAGCGACCTAGTGATTGATATCCGAGGATAAGCTGTTAACCATCTTTCGCTTTTTGATGATGCGAAATTTTTTCAAACGAAATGAACGGTTCATCAGCATCAGCATCATCATCAGCAACTAGGCAACATTGTCTCTGTATTGTCGGCGAGCCATTAATTCGTGAAGCCGTCTGATTGCCATAATTTCGGCTATTCTCGCTCTTATTTGTCCGGTACAGCAGGTCAAGCGGCCGACTGGCCCACAGACGCTCCAGTCGGAGAGTCCAGCATTCGGCCAATCGGGAGAACCGGCCTCGGCAACACAGGCCCCGGGCTCGTTAACGGTCTCCCGGGCATCTACTATTCCTGGTCTCTGCGAGATCTGGCCGACGCCAGTGCCCTTCTCCAGACATCGTGGCGTGGTCACCTGCAGCCCGAGCTCGGAGCTCCGCCCAGCGGCGACTCGGTTAAAACAAAGACCCTCCCATCCGGCTTCCCGACGTCCAGCCTCCCCGGCGGTTGCTACTCGCCGGAGGACCTGTTGGCCGGCTCCTTGAGACGTGACGACGCAGTCGAACCGGGCCCCGGCAACAACGTCTACCAGACTCTGATGCCCATCTCGTTGGTCGACGCACCTCTCGTCCCCGGCGGTCCGGAGTGCGCCTACCGGATCGGCCTGCAGATCGGCCCCCCCAACGAAGACTGGCTGGAACTAGTGGCCCCGGGGGCCCCGGAGGCCCCGGGATCACGAAAGACGGCTTTCCAGCCGGTGGCCAATTGGCGAGCTCAGCTTGCGCCGGCCATCGAAAAAGCGAATGTCGTCGAGGCGGCCGAATCTCAGCCTACTGAAGATCTGCTGTGCGTGGATCGGTTGCGTCGGCAGGCCCACTTGTCCGACGCGAAGAGGGCACCGGCGGCGGGAGCCGAAGCCATCCAGACGATCTCCGGAGTCGATGCCCTCTCTTCTCAGTCCGGAATGCGGATGGTTAGTCCGCCGCCCATCTACAAAAAGTCTGCAAATGAAGCCAGTTTTGTATAGCATCCCTTTTCATTCTCTCTCTCTCTCACACATTACAACTATATGTGCCTCAATTTCTCTCTCTCTCGCTCCTTCTCCCTGACATCATCATCTGAGACGCCCTCCGACTTGTGTGAAGCATTGCAGACTTACGCTCGGAATAACGACACTTACGAATCTTCTGCCAATGCCAAGAGAGGGGCGTAAATGCGTCGAAAATATCTCCCAAGCTACATTGAATGCGATGCCGCCAAACTGTAATAAACAAAGACCTGAAAAGGTTTTGAGAAAAACAGCATGAAATCACCTCCACCAA